CTGCACAGCTGTCTGCATGAACACCAGAGAAGAACCAGATGTAAGTTTCAAACCTGCAGGCTCATTTCATGTCTGTGTACAGAGGTGCTGTGTGGACCACATTTGAACTGTTGCTTCTTTCTTCTTGGACAATTTTAAACAGATGATCATTTATTAAGAATAATCATATATTTCTTACAGCAGTGTGTGATAAACTAGATATCTGTGTTTAATATAAAGTGCTGCATGTCCATCAAACACTGAAGAGCTGCTGGATTCATTGTTTTCTCCAAATGACAGAAAAGTCATTTTCATGTGACAGAGCGACGATGCAGTGGAGTCTGTTTCTGCTTCTTCTGATGGGTGAGTGATCATTTTACCAGGGCTCCTGATTGTTTCCACCTAAAATCCTTTAGTTTGATCAGGACTCATTAAACAAATGAACTCTTACTGAGAAAATCAAGGATTCACCTGTAAACTGGACAGTTTGATGGGAACATGAGTTTCCTGCTTGTATCAGCAGATATTCAACAGTATTTCTTCTGTTTTAGGTCAGTGTGTCTTCATCACATGTCAGCTGTTTGAGTACCACTTTATTAAAGAAGAGATGAGCTGGGATGAAGCACGGGCTTACTGCAGAGAGAGCTACACAGACCTGGCCAAAGTGTTTGACCTGACAGACATGAGAAGACTTCAAGTCTCTGCACAGAGTCAAACACAAGCCTGGATTGGACTGTACAGCGAGCCAGGAGACAACAGGAGGTGGCACTGGTCTCTGCCGGGGGAGGAATACACTGAAAATAAGACCTGTTGGGGAGCTGGAGAGCCAAATGATCTTAACTACCCTGAGAACTGTGTGATGACAGTAGACAAGTGGGCAGATTTTCCATGTAGTGACAAATTTCAGTTCATCTGCTATGACGGTGAGAATATATGAACAGTAATATGATAATACAATATTTAATAATGTTATAATCTAGTTTATAATCTGTGTTATATCACATGTTCCTGAAAAAGAGATTAAAGAATGAGACAAATTAGTTGATAAAAATGTTATTTTGTTTTTCTATTGATTTGACAGAAACAATGAAAGACAATAAAATGTTTCATTTGATTGCGGAGGAGAAGTCTTGGACTCAGGCTCAGAACTACTGCAGACAGCATCACACTGACCTGGCCAGTGGACTCGATCAGATATACAGTGAAGAGTTTAAGACGCTGCAGAACTCTAAAGAACTGTGGATCAGCCTGTTCAGAGACAGCTGGAGGTGGTCAGATGGGAGTAACTTCTCTTTCAGATACTGGGACATGGACTCATTTAATGATGGACTAAACAACAGGACATGTGCTACGACTCTGTTAGAGAGATCAGGAAGATGGAGCTCTGCTGGATGTGACCAAAGAAAGCCTTTCTTCTGCTATGATGGTGAGTTTACACAGATTTATCTCAGCTGTTTGTCCAATAGATGAACAGCTGGAGTCAC